CAGTGGCTCGTGTTGTGCTTTTCGTGTCCTATAGCGACAGGCTGTGGTATTTCTATTTTTTGAACAGAGAGAGACGTGATTTTCTCTCTTGGGATTTTTCTTGGGGGAGTTGTGAGACCTAGTGAGAAAGTTTAGAGAAAGAAGAAAAAGTGACCCCAACCACCCCAAAATTTGGGACAAGAGGGTCCCCGGGGCATTCCTGGGGCTGAAACGTGGCAGGGTCAGGAATGGTGAGGAAATGATGCACTGCCCACCGTGCCTGCTGCACCTTTGCAGTGGGAATGCTGCTTCGGCTTGGGTAGCTCAAGAATAAAAGGAAATTAAAGTTGAGAGGAAGAGCTTATGGCTTTTCTTAGGTTACAATCTGATATTGAGGAAAAATGATGTGAAAGCAAAGGAGTCAGACTTAAAATCCAGACTTTGGTCAGAAAGACAAAATCATCCCCAGAGGAATCCAAATCTGGGATTGCCTAGGAAACCCAGAGAGGACTAAACTGACCAAGAAGAGCTTAAAAAATTATAATTATGTGCATTACTCACCATTTTAAAGTGGCAAATCTTGCTCTTTGCCATTTCCCTGGACACCAATTGTGTCAGCTCAGTTAAAAACCCACAGACCTGTGGTGGCTGCCCTGAGATTTTTTTTGTAACAATTGCTTCTCCCGCAGCTCAGCAGCAAAATCAATGTGATCAAAACTTTAAAGTCACTTGAAAACTTTTAGTTTGGTTTTTTTTTGGAACAGATTGTTTAAAAACATAAAAAAACTGATGTGGCTGCAGGGAATCCACTCAGTTAAAGTGACCTTTTTAAAGGAAGTTTAATCTCCAAAATAAAACTCAGCCCTCAGGCATGAAGAGCCAGATTTTGCCTTTTCCTGCTTCCTTTTTTTTGCCTTTTTATATATATTTTTTTCTATTCTTTTCCACGTGAAACCTTCACATTTGACTTTCCTTATTTAGAAAGCTGCTTGATTCTGGATTTATCACAAGAATGAATCTTGTGCTAATCTTGTCCAAGAATGCTCCAGAGCTAATTCTGGCTGCAGCCAGAGTCAGAATCTTCACAGCCAGAGGCCAGAAAATGCTGGGTGGAAATTCTTCCCAGCAGCAGTTTCCTGTCGTCCTCCAGCATTCCCCAAAAACCAGAGCAGGCTGGCCCTGCCCTCTTTTCTCCAGGGAAAAGGAAGGAATTGGCTCAGGGAATAAAATTCTGGTGTCTCATCCCAGGAACACAAAGTGGGGTCACAGCACTGGGGATCCTGTGTCGGAGAAAAACCAACCTGGAAGATTTTTCTGAGGATCTTTTCCCTGTCTCAGACTCTGATTTTTGTTCTTTTTGAGTGGTCGTGGAACAGGAAAAGTCCCCACGGGCTGAGGAGGTGTTTTGATATGTATGACAAAGGAAGAGAAGGAATATGGGGTTGTTTCGTGCTTTATTACTCATTCCTTAAAAGCAGAATTTCTGCTGAAAGCCTTGCTCTTTTAATTTTTTTTTTTTTTTTCCTGTGTGATGCAGAAAGAAATTAAAGAGCAAGGAAGAGGGGAGAGAAGTGAAATCCAGAAACAGCCAGAAATTTGTGCTTTGGGGACACAATTTGTGCCTCCAGGCTCTGAATTTCTCATTGCCTGGCATCAGCCCAGGCTGAGATGTGGGCATGGGGACTGAGGGGCTGCACCATCCCCAGCCCCTCTAGGAGCCACTTTTGAACACTCAAAAGTGTTAAAAATAAAAAAAAAAATGTTCACTTTTGAACTCTAAGCAAGTTTTGTCTCCATTTGCTCTTTTGCCTCTGCAGTTCTTGGGGTTTCACATCGGAGACACAACTTCCTGAGGCAGCAAAAAGGGGAAAAAAAAGGAACAATCAGCTCTTCTCTGGGCCAGATATTTGAGGAACTGAGACATTTTCTGTGTTTTATGCCTGAAAAATTAGGTAAATCTGTGCTGATAATGTGAATTAGGAAGATCAGTGATGTGATAAATCCAGAATCAAGCAGTTTTCTAAATAAAGAAAGCCAAATATGAAGGTTTCACGTGGAAAAGAATAGAAAAAAAATAGAAAAAGGCCAAAAAGAAAAAGGAAGCAGGAAAAGGAAAAAAAAAGAAGCAGTCCAGCACCATTCTAATCATTAATTAATAAGTGCTGGTTTTCTCATGGGGAATATTAAATATTCCATGGGGATTTATGGGGCACAACAGAATTCAGAACAGAATCAATAAAATCACCCCAAAGAAGGGAAAGGAGATTGGGAATATCTTGGGAACCACTTGTTAATTAATGCAACACACACCTGCAGCTCCTGCACACCTGAATATTCTTACATGCCTCAGCTCCACATGATTCCTGCTCCATAAAAACCTGCCCAAACTCTGCTGGGCACAGAGGGAGGGAGCCTTTGGCTGCTGGGGTTTCTCCTGGGTCAATGTTTTATCTCTTTTCTTGGTGCTTCTTCAGGCTGTTTGTGAAGTTGAGCTCAAGTTTTTACTCTCTCTGCTGTGAAAAGGTGATATTCTTGGTCTTATTTTACATAAAAAGCTCTGTGTTTGTAAGGTGTGTTGCTGGCAATGTGTGTCACAAATAAGAGCTATTATATTTTAAACTCTTTTTTTTTTTTTGCATATTCTCTCTTAACTTGCTTAGTTCAGGTGCCTTCTAGTAATGCATTAGGCTGGTTTTAATATCCCAAAATAAATTTAATTTGCTGTTTGGTAGTCAGGTTTATCCAGGTTCTTTCTCTTCTGGCTCGTGCAGCTTTTGCAGCATCAGTTTTTGGCAGCTGATGGTTCTTTAATGTTATTAAATCTCTGCTGTGCTGCTCCAGCACCTCCTATTTTAAACTCTTTTTTTTATATAGTTTCTCTTATTTTGCTTAGTGCAGGTGCCTTCTAGTAATGCATTAGGCTGATTTTAATATCCCAAAATAAATTTAATTTGCTGCTTGGCAGTCAGACTTATTCTGGCTCATGCAACTTTTGCAGCATCAGTTCTTGGAATCTGATGGTGCTTTAATGTTATTAAATCTCTGCTGTGCTGCTCCAGCACCTCCTATTTTAAACT